CCTCATCTCTACAACAAATCAAAAATTAGCTGGGCGTGGTAGCGCACGCCTGTAGTTCCAGCTACTTGGAAGGCTGAGGTGGAAGGATCCCCAGAGCCAAGCAGGTCGAGGCTGCGGTGGCTGGGAGCAGCCACTGCACTCAGTCTGGGCGACAGAGTGAGACTCCAACTCAAAAGAAAAAAAGTCCTCCTACTTCCAAGAAAAAATGAAAACATATACCTCTGTTTTTGTTCCATAGTCATAATAAATTTAGCATCTTTCACAAGAACAGAAGCAGCCTGTTGCACACCTTTCCTTGTTGCACAGAACTGAAAGTGAATTAATAATTTTTGTATTAATCATATTAAAAACTGAACATTACACTGAAAAATAACCAACAATCCATACCACAAGTGTGGGTTTCTGATCAGAGTACGTTTGTATAACACTGGCAATTTTGTAGTTGAGGGTTAAATCAAACTTATATTCAGTTTGGTTATTATAGCAGGGAAATCCAAGAACCACTTTTCGAAGTTTCACAGGTCTATGGCTTTCATCCATTTTCAGACACACAGCAGGTCTTTCACCATCTGAAAGCCATTCTGCAATCTTAAAAAAACATAAACATGTGCATTATTTTTTTAAAGTCAAGCTCTATAACTAAAAATAACCCAATTATAGACCACTTTAAAGTCAAGGTATACAGCCAGCCACAGAGGCTAATGCCTGTAATCACAGCATTTTGGGAGGCCGAGGAGGGAGGATTGCTTGAGCCCAGGAGACTGAGACCAGCCTAAGCAACATCATGAGACTTTGTCTCTACAAAAAATTAAAAATAAATTTAAAAAATAAGCTGGGAACAGTAGCACGCACCTGTGACCCTAGCTACTTAAGAAGCTGAGGCAGAAGGCTTGTCTGAGCCCAGAAGACTGAGGCTGTGGTGAGCTATGATCATGTCAGTGTACTCCAGCCTGGGCAACAGAGTAAGACTCCCGACTCAGAAAAAAAAAAAATAAAGTAAATAAATAGAGTCAAGGTATAAAAGATACAAAAATATTTAATCAAGTAGTTTTAGAATTAAGTATTAATTAAAATTAAATATTAAAGTAATTTAAACAATTAAAGTTAAGTATTAATTGCATTAATACTATTCTGTTGATATTTTGGTAAGTACTACCAATATTTCAAGATTATATATTCACTTTTCACCATGGTAAACTTCCAATTTATTATTGTTTTGTTTTATTTTCCTTCATAAGAGTTCAAAGTAAAATTAAAACTGATTTTGTCCTAGAAATCGAGTTTCTCACTTTTTTGCTATTTTTCCCAAAGACTATGCCTCAAAGTGGCTGACACTTCTTTTGTGCTGTCCTAAATACTAGGTGAATAAATTCAAAGATATATTAATTTAAGCTGTTTACAATAGCAAAAATTAGAAATAACTTAATCTTCCATAGTTATGGTATTAGATAAATAAATTACAATAAAACCGCAAAAGCAGTATTAAAGAATATTTTATGATATGGAAATGTTTACAGGTAAAATGCAAGCAAAAAAAGAGTATGTACATTATGATTCTATGTATATACGTGAAAGGACAAACACTGGGATTTAGTTTTGTTGTTTAAATAAACTTTAATTTGTTTCTATATTATTCTTGTTCTTAAAAACAGGTTGTCATTTTAAGAACAAGAAAAAGATCATTTGTGCCAAATTAAAGATAAAGACAAAATATTCCATTGGAATAGACAAGATAGCAGCTATTTGTGAAAACAATTTCTAAGAATTAGTAGGGGAGAAAATATAGTAGACTGAGAAGTAAGTAGCAGTGAGAGAGTACAGTGAAACTGTATTATTTCTCAAGAAGTTTACTCAAAAACTGAAGAAAAAATTAAGTCACGTATTCATTACAGAAAGTATAATACTGCATATAATATATTTTTTACATGTCTATGTCCCCTTCAGCCATGGGATCATTCTCAAGGAGAGATATTTTTTCACTTTTGCATCTATGCCAAGCACATAGAATGGAGGAATAAGTGGTAATTCTCTAAGCAATTATCTTTACTCTCCACCATATTTTGCTGTACAGCAAGAGTCAGCTGGTCACAACAACCATAACAAATATTAGTCAAGTTATTATGAGGCACCTGAAACCCATGAAATTAGAACTTTTAGATATTAGCAAACAACAGACTTCACAAAAGTATTTTATTAAACCTGACAAACCAAATTTTATTGCCTTAACATAGTCATAGTTATGAGATCTAACTATAACTTCTACGACATACTTTCCTATCAATTTTATTAGACAACTGACAGAAAGAAAAACTCACTTCTAAAATCGAAATGACTAAATATTTCACAACTCAGAAAAAACATGATAGGTTAAAACCATAACTTACATCCTCAGCATTTGGAATGGTTGCAGAACCCGCTACAAACCTCATTGGAATAACAGTACTGGTATTTTTAGAAGTCTGAAATACAGACTGTACAGTTTTCATTCTGCTGACTACAACTTCAAGAGTTGGACCACGATTTTCATCTTTTACAACATGTACCTAAGGAGGGAATCAAGAAAAAATCATTGGCCATAGAATTAAAAATGTATTTAATCAATTAAAATATGCAATAATATTAACATTCTTCCTTGAGAAAATAAGCATTTTCCACTTGAAGGGATAAAACAAACATAGTTTGGTTGAAAATGTCTTGTTTCTTTCTATCCATTCTAATTGTCTATGTTTACCTCTGAAAGTGAATAATGTATTCATTACCTCATCAATGAGAAACAGTCGAACCAGCTGGACCAAAGAGTTGTCTCTCCATTTCCTAGTCATACTATCCCATTTTTCCTGGAAGAAAAAAAATTTAAAAACACAAGTGGTTTAATGTGATAAAGGATTACAATAAAATGTTAAGATAGCAATAAAACTTTTAACATGACATATTATGAGTAATGGGAAATGTTTTGGTTGGTGCCTTAAAGTATCCTGAAAAGTACTTCAAGATTTTAAAATATTTAAATAATTTGACAGCCTTGCAGGTATTTAAAAAACTGGGTCCTCAATTGTTTTTAAGTTGAACCACAAAATATTCAAAGTAAAGTTTTTTTATTACCTGTTTTTCTGTTTTGTTTGGTTTTGAGTTGGAGTCTTACTCTGTCGCCCAGACTGGAGTGCAGAGGCTGCTCCCGGCCACCGCAGCCTCGACCTACTGGGCTCTGGCGATCCTTCC